AACCTGAACTTGTCTGTTGTGTTTCTCATGATTAAATTGTGGTTTTGAAGGGATCTCATCCATCACCTTACATTTGGGGGACATGGAATCCACATACCAGCTGTAGTGAAATTAGCCTGAGGCTCTCATGGCTGCAGGCAGTATTTGCCAGATTCTATGCTGTAAAGTTATTTAAAATATACTAAAAAAGCTTTAGGGCTGGAGAGATGGCTCAGAGGTTAAGAGCACTGGCTGCTCTTCCAGAGGTCCAGAGTTCAATTCCCAGCAACCACAGGGTGGCTCACAACCATCTGTAATGAGATCTGGTGCCCTCTTCTGGCGTGCAGACATACATACAAACAGAGCACTGTATACATAATAAATAAACAAATCTTTAAAAAAAAGTTTTAGGTTGATTTATTTTCTTTGTATGGGTATTCTGCCTGTATGCAGGCCTGTGCACCATGTGCATGTCTGGTACCCTCAGAGGTCAGAAGAGGGCATCAGGTCCCCTGAGCCTGGAGTTACTGGTGGCTGTAAACCACCATGTGTGTGCCGGGGACCACACCTGGATCCTCTGCAAGAAGATCACGTGCTCTCAACTGCTGGGCCATTTCTCCAGCCCAATGCTTAATATGTTTTTTTTTTTTTTTTTCTGGTTCTAACAAGAGCAATCGGGTCAAAGGAAGAAAGAAGAGAGAGATAGAGAATGACAGAGACAGAGAAATTGAGCATCCAAGTCAGAAAGGAAGACATCCAATTGTCCGTCTGTGCAGATGACACTGATCTTATATAGAAAATCCCAAAGACTCCACCCAAAGTTTTAGAACAACAACAACAACAACAGATTACAAAACCAACTCACAAATATCCTTAACATTCAGCCAGGCGTGTTGATACCTGTGATTCCAGCACTGGGAGGCCGAAGCAGGAGAATTGTAAATATGAGGCCAGCAATGCAGTCTTAAAAACAAAATCAGACCAGAAAACCATTATGAGTAACTGTGTACACCAAGTAGCTGAGGAGATAGGCCCCTCTGCTGTGGGATGTTAATGTATGTCCTGTGGGAGCCCTTCTTGGGTTCCTTGTGGCGTTACCCAGCAGGTTTGCATAGAGGATGATTAGGACCATGGGCCTGAGTGCAGGTGTCTGAGATGGTCTGCACTTGGCTGTACTGGGGGATGGTCTGTATGTCAAGTTGCTCTGATTGGTCAATAAATAAAACCTGATTGGTCGTGGCTAGGCAGGAAGTATAGGCGGGACTAACAGAGAGGAGAAATAAAAGAACAGGAAGGCAGAGACACAGCAGCCGCCGCCATGACCAGCAGCATGTGAAGACGCCAGTAAGCCACCAGCCACGTGGCAAGGTATAAATTTATGGAAATGGTTAATTTAAGATAAAAGAACAGTTAGCAAGAAGCCTGCCACGTCCATACAGTCTGTAAGCAATATAAGTCTCTGTGTTTACTTGGTTGGGTCTGAGCGGCTGTGGGACTGGCGGGTGACAGAGATTTGTCCTGACTGTGGGCAAGGCCGGAAAACTCTACCTACACCCCTCTGTAAAGTGCTGTACCGACATGATGCCCTGAGCTTGACCCTTCTCCAGAACCTGTGTAGATGCTGGGTGTGGTGGCGCACCTCTGTACCCTTAGTTCTTGGAAGCAGAGACAGAATTCCTGAGATTGTGTGGCTAACTTAGTCCAGTTGAATCAGTGAGCTCCAGGTTCAGTGAAAGATCCTGTCATAGTGGGACTTTCCTTTGGGACACCAGTTCATAAAAAAATGACCCGGGGACTTTTTATTAATTATGAAAGCTTGGCTTTAACTTAGGCTTGTTTCTACCTAGTTCTTATAACTTAAACAAACCCATTTCTATTAATCCATGTGCTGCCATGTGGCTCGTGGCTTTTACCTCTTCTCCTCCATGTCCTGCATCCTCGGCATCCCTCTGGAGACTCCGCCTTTCTTCCTCCCAGAGCTCTCTCTGTCCAGAAGTCCCTTCTATACCTCCTGCCTAGCTATTGACCATTTAGCTTTTTATTAAGCCAATCACAGTGACATATCTTTGCACAGTGTAATCAAATATCTTGCAACACCCTGTCTTAAAAAGTAAGGTGGATAGGCTGACGGGATGACTCCCTGCTCTTCCAGAGGACCTGGGTTCAGTTCCCAGTACCCATGTTAGGTGGCTCACAACTACTTACAACTCCAACTCCAGGGATTCCAACACCCTTAGCTGGCCTTTGAGAGCACTGACTACACTCATGTGCACACACACAATTAAAAATAAAATAAAATAATAAGAATAAAATCTCAGAAAAAGTAAAGTGGGGAGGTATTGAGGATGACACACCACCAGTCATAATAGAAATGCAAATTAAAAGTGAGTGGGAGTGTGCCATAATCTTTTTTTCTTTTTTTTTTTTTTTATAGATTTTTTTTTTGTTTTGTTTTGTTTGAGACAGGGTTTCTCTGTGTAGCTTTGCGCCTTTCCTGGAACTCGCTTTGGAGACCAAGTTGGCCTCGAACTCACAGAGATCCACCTGCCTCTGCCTCCCGAGTGCTGGGATTAAAGGCGTACACCACCACCGCCTGGCATTTTTACAGATTTATTTATTTATTATGTATACAGTGTTCTGTCTGCATGTATGCCTGCAGGCCGGAAGAGGGCACCAGATCTCATTACAGATTTGTGAGCCACCATGTGGTTGAGGGGAATTGAACTCAGAACCTTTGGAAGAGCAGCCAGTGCTCTTAACTGCTGAATCATCTCTCCTGCCCCCCCCCCATACTCTTATTATTGGCACTTGGGAGGCAAAGACTGGCAGATCTCTGTGAGCTCAAGTCCACTCTGGTCTACAGAGTTCCTGATCAGTCAGGACCATACAGTGAGAGTGTGTCTCAAAACAAAAACAACCCACAAAAACCCCACAATGAGACATTAGCCTACAGTTACTAGAATGGCTGTTGGTGAAAAGATAAAAGATTATGCTGGTCAGGGTGTGGGGAGAGGGAATTCCTTCACGCTGTTGTGGGGGTGCAAATTGGTGCAGTCATTACAGAAAGCACCATAGAAGTTCCTTGACAAATTAAAAACAGAACCATCACGTGGTACGGTCTTCCATCGCTGTCTGTACAAAGGAGATGAAATCAGCCTCTTGGTGAAACATCCACACTTGCATGATCCTTGCTGCTCTGTTCACAACAACCAGGAAATGAAAGTTGATATCCACCAACCGAGGAGTGGATAAGAAAATATAGTATGTGTACACCATGCAATCCTGTCCTTTGGGATGACCTGGATGGAACAGGGGAACATTGTATTAAATAAAGTTAAGTCGGGTACCAAAAGACAAATCCTTCATGACCTCATTAATCTGGATTCTAGAGAAAAAAAAAAAAAACAAACAAACCAATAATGATATAATGAAAACTAAAAGTCTTGGGGGGACTGGGAGGGAAGAGAGGAGGATGATGGGGTGGTGACCAGTGGCTACTAAATTTTAGCAAGATAGAAGAAATAAACTTGGTGATCTGTTGCTGAGTAGGGTGACTATGGACAATGATCTTGTGGCCTATGTTTCAAGAAAGACTGGAAGAATTTTGAATGTTTTCACCACAGAAAAATGACTTTTGATCAGGTACATGCACTTACCCTGAATTAAACATTCCATAGTATGTACATGAATACAAACATCTCACAGCACCCAGAATTATGCATAGTTTTTTATTTTTATTTTTTTGTTTTTCGAGACAGGGTTTCTCTGGGTAGCTTTGCACCTTTCCTGGAACTCGCTTTGGAGACCAGGCTGGCCCCGAACTCACAGAAATCCGCCTGGCTCTGGGATTAAAGGCGTGTGCCACCACCGCCTGGTGCATAAATTTTATGTACCAATTAAAACAGATTTAAAGCTAGGGATATAGCTCAGTGGCAGAGTGCTTGCTTAGAATGTGCGAGGGCCCAGAGGATTTGATTCCTAGTATTACAAGAATAAATGAATGAATATATGTTTGCATATTGCATTTTTTTTTTACAGTTTAAGAATTTTTATTGTTGTTTACAGAATAAACATTGACTCACTAAGAGAAAGTGAAAAAGAACTCTGAGCAGCAAGGGAAGAAAGCTTTCTTCTTGGTTTGGTTGGTTTTTATTTTTATTTTATTTATATTTATTAATTAAGACCTTGTCTTGCTTTGTTGTTGTTGTTTGTTTTGTTTTGTTTTTCGAGACAGGGTTTCTCGGTGTTGTTTTGGTGCCTGTCCTGGATCTTGCTCTATAGACCAGGCTGGCCTCAAACTCACAGACATCCACCTGCCTCTGCCTCCCGAGTGCTGGGATTAAAGGCGTGTGCTACCACTGCCGGGTAGATCCTTGTACTTGTAATGGAAGCTTTTTTTTTTTTTTTTTAACCAACTGAGGTCTCTCCAGCTCCTGAACTGGTTTGGACTGCATAAAGGATTTATAGGCTCATGTAACAGCCAAGGACAGAAGGAAGATGGCCCTGGGTAAGGTTTGTGCAGAACCCTGGCTCTATTTTTTTTCCCTCTGAGATCTTCTTCCCTGTGTGTGTGTTTGTTTGGGTCCTTGGACAATGTTGTCATTTGTGGTAAGGAAATGTCCATCTGTTACCACAAGATAACATGACAGACTTTGCATTGAGCAAACACCCTGGCCTTTGCTCTGATTGGCTCAGCTCAGGTCACATACTTGCCCTCTACCCTTGTTGCTGTGTCCACGGGGATGTCACAGGGAGAGGCGAGAAACACTCTTCCACTTTGACCCCCAGATCGAAGTGGGTTCTTCTGGAAGGATGCGAACAGATGTTTATGCGTTAAATGCATGTGTGCATGCACGAAACCCGAGCCAGAGTCCTACTGTGCGGCAATCTGTCTAGCAGAGAAGCCACTGAGTTTAAGACAGAGGGGTAAGGGTGATGTCACAGAGACTCCTGCATGCTGCCAGTTGCCTGGCATCCAGGCTGCATCTGTCACAGTCATCTTTGTGGCGCTGTGTGTTCTCTTAGAATAGAGAGTACTTCCCTGTTGGGAGCACTGTGCTTGGTATACCCAGGAGCACTTGTGAGTGGGAAATGGAGTGCAGAGGATGCATGCATGGGTGGGCTGGCTTGCCCTTTCGAGCGGAAACGCTTGATTTCCCGCTGTATCTTTGTGCCATTCCCCTCCTCCAGTGAAGAGCTTTACCCGACCTGGAGCTGAGAGGTGCTTCTGACCTTCATCCTCCCCCTCCTTCTTCCTGAAAAGGCTGCCGCCTCCACCACACTCATTCAGAGGGCTGTTTTCCCTTTGCTCCTGGGCTGGGGGCAGATCCCGCCCTTCCGCAGTCTCTCCGTGATTCATTAAAACCCACAAGAATAGCGAACTGGCACAACAGAGGGCGTAGGGAAAGCAGGTGGGAACCATATTCAAAGAACTTGCAACTAGATCTTATTTAGTTTAAGTTTCATTACGTTGCGTACATAGAGAGTTTGCCTGTGTGTATGTCTGTGCCCCGTCGCCGTGAGATGCCCTTAGGAGCCAGATCTCCTGAAAGTGAATTTACAAACTGTTGTAATCTGCTCAGTGTGGGTGCCGGAAACCGAATCCGGGTCTCCTGCAAGAACAGCCAGTGCTCTTTAACTGCGGAGCCATCTCTCCATCCCCTATTTGCTTGTTTATGTATTTATTTGGTCTTTTGAAACGAGGCTTGCTATGTAGCCATGGCTGACCTGGAACTCACTCTGTAGCCCAGGCTGCCCTCAGACTTGAGATGATCCTTTCACCTCTGTCTCCTGAGTGCTGGGATTTGGTTTAAAGCTGAGTCTTAGCCAGGACTGGATTTGGCCCCTCCCCTCTATTTCACTGTCTGTTGACTGCTGCCCCCTTGTGGTGAAAATTTCTCTTTTCCTAGCGGTTCCCCTCGCTCTCAAGAGTTTTGTTTTCAGAGAGAATGTCAACTTATTACAGAGGAAAGGACTCCAAGAATAGGAGGTCTCCAAGGGAGGGATGCTTTCTTGAGATATTTTGCAGTCTAGGTCCCACAGTTTCCTCTTGGGTCCCCAGTCAGGGTTTCTGCTTCAGGAGCTGCCTTCTCTTTAGATGATGGTGGGGATGTGTCTTCCCTTCCCTACTCCATTTCAAGTCTTTCCTAGACATCAGATCTCTACAGTCAGTGACACCAGGGTAATTGTCCCCTTATAGTTCCTACAACCTTTTTTTGAGACAGGGTATCATGCACCCTTGAATTCCATCTGTAGTTGAGGATGACATTAGGTTATAGGGATGTATCATTACGGCCATATTTTGAGTTTATGTGTGAGATCAGTGTATGTGTGTGCAGTATATGTGCCTGTGTGTGCACACACACAGATATGTGTAGAGGCCAAAGGAAGACACTGGAGGACATTGAGTCCTGCTCTATGCTCCTACCCCTTACTCTCCAAAGAGACAGGGCCTCTCACTGAACCTGGAGCTAGGCTGGTAGCTACCAAGCCCTAGCAATCATCCTGTTTCTGCAGCCCATACCCTGGTGCTAGGATTATAGGAGTGCACTTGGCCATGCCTGGGTTTACATGGGTTCTGACGAGTGTACTTGGCCATGCTTGGATTTACATGTGTTCTGAGGATTTGAACTCAGGTTCTCAGGCTTATGAAGCATGTGATCTCACCTGCCAAGCCATCTTTCCAGCCTCCTACGCCAAGTTTTATGCAATGCTGGGTATTGAACCCAGGCCTTCTTAAATGTCAGGCAAACACTGTACCAGCTGAGCTACAGCCTCCCCCTTCCTGCCACTACGTATAGATACAAGGAGAATCCTGGAGGCCACCACACGTGCTAGTGTCACAATGGTAGACATCAGGGGTGTGAAAAGTCGGCATTTAGGGGAGGGACGGGATTTAAACTTTCATAGATTGGCACTGACGACACAGATTGGCTGCCCTGGCAGGAGCCATGGCAGCCAGGAAGACCAGCCCAGCTGCATGGACGTGAAGCTCTCAGACATACCTGAGAGGTGAGTGTGTGACTGAATGTCTCAGGCCTTCTTATAGTGGTGCCGTATGCTCCGTGAGTCATACGAGAGACATGGAATAGAACCCATGGCAGTCACTTAGTATGTTCCCTGGCAGAGGACAGATCAAAAGACGAACTGGAAGGGGAATCTGAGTTCTCCAGCCGCTCGTGGCACAGAGCAGGAGCCTCCCATGTAAACACATCATCACGGCACAGCGGAGTCGGCGTAGGAATGGGAGGAGCTTTAAAAGGGGTTCTGGTTTCATCTCTGCTGCTGTGATAAAAGATGGTGGCCGGAAACAACTTAGGGGAGGAAAGGCTGTGTTTCTCCTTCCAGCTCACAGTCCAACACTGAGGGAAGTCAGGGCAGGATCTCAGGCAGGACTTGGAAGCTAAAACTACAGAGGAGCGCTGCTTGCTGGCACACTCACGGAGTCCTGCTTAGCTAGCTTTCATTTAAATTTGTGTTTCTGAATTTGTGGAACCCGAAGGTTTCATTTTGATTTGGAAAAGAAGAATTACAGCATGAAATGTACAGAAGATAACAGAGCACAACTAATTTGTTATGTGAATTATAAGCATAACTGTAGAAAAGGAAACGAATATGAACGTATTACATTTTAAGTGTAATTCCTTGTAAACTACTTTCAGGAAAAAAAAAAAGAGCTCATCTTGGCACGTAGAAAGGCAATTTTGTGTAAATGGGTGTTGTTCTTGAACATACATCTGAGCACCATGTACATGCAGTGCCTACAGAGGCCAGAAGAGGGCATCGGATCCCCTGGGACGGGAGCTACAGACCATTTGGAGCCACCATGTGGGTGCTGGGGACCAAACCCGAGTCTTCTAGAAGAGCAGCCAGTGTTCTTAACCATTGAGCCATCTCTCCTCCCCCACCTAGTTCTCTTATACGGACCGGGACCACCTGACTGGCTTAGGGATGGTGCCTCCCACCCTGGGCTGGACTCTTTTACATCAATTAGCGATCAAGACAATCTCCCACAGAGATGCCCACAGGCCAGTCCGAGCTGGGAAATCCCTCAACCGGGATTCCCTTCTCAGATGACTCTTGGCTGTGCTAAGGTGGTAGCTGTGAACTGCTCAGGGGCCTCGCAGGCCGCTATCCAGAGAAGCTGTCCTTCGGTATCAAATGAGGAACAGCAATTACACCACCCTTAGCTGGCCCTTCACTGATTTCCCTAGCCCTAATGGTCTCTAGGCTACAGCTAGACTCCGAGGAAGGAGTGGCCATGTTCCAAACCTCATTGCTTACTCTAACCAAACAATAATTGGAAATGGTGGTGTAAAAGGGAGGTTAGTTTTTTCTTCCAAAATCTCTACCACGAAGACCCTAGAGATGCCTATACTATAAGTGACGTGGTGTGCTTATAGCTGGGCATGGTGGTGTACACCTTTAATTGCAACATTTGGGAGACAGGTGAAGGTTCATGGTCATCACCTACATAGAGTTCAAGGCTAACATGGGCTACGAGAGACTCTGTCTCAAACAAAACAAAACCAGAAAGCAAATATTGGGGCTGCAGATGTAGCTCAGTGGTAGGGTACTTGTCCCAGCATGTGCTGGGTCCTGGGTTCTATTCCAGCACCCACATAAAGCTGTCCAAACACAGCTAAAGTGTAGACTTCTCAACTTCTCTCTAAGCTTTCCCCTAAGTTCTTCTTATAGACTCCCCCCAAGTCTTTCCCACCATGGACTTCTGAAATTTCTGTTGTGGAAAGTCAACCCTCCTCCCTCATTCTCCTTAGGGAAGCTGGAAGGTTCTCAAGGTTCTGCTAGAGAATTTGGGGATAGCACACGAAAGTAAATCCAAGAACCTGACCAGGCTGAAAGCGATCCTCTGTGGCAGGAAGAATTTGGGGAGCCCGTTCCCAACTACAGCTTCACCCTGCTCTCCCTGCTGAACCCACAGAACCTCTCCTGCTGTCGGGTCCCATGACCTAATCAGCACCCAAATGCAGACGTGGGTGGGGCTCGGCGCTGAGGGGAGGTATGGTCTGGTGTGGTTTCTCTCCTTTTTCTTTACTCATCCAGTTCCTTCGACTGTTCGGGCATTCTGGTCTCTGAGCTGCAGGCTCCCGCGCACACAGAACACACGCACCTGGTGCCTCAGGGAGGAAGCCATCTTTGTGGATCAGCACACTTGTTGGGGTAGGAAGGCTTGGTTTGATTTTATTTTAGAAAAATACACTAGTTTCTGTGGAACGCAGGAATTTCTGATAAGCTGTTTCCTTTTCCTTCCTTCCTTCCTTCCTTCCTTCCTTCCTTCCTTCCTTCCTTCCTTCCTCCCTCCCTCCCTCCCTCCCTCCCTCCCTCCCTTCTTTCTTTCTTTCTTTCTTTCTTTCTTTCTTTCTTTCTTTCTTTCTTTCTTTCTTTCTTTCTTTCTTTCTTTCTTTTTTTGAGACAGGGTTTCTCCGTGTGGTCCTGGTTGTCCTGGAACTCACTTTTTTAGACCAGGCTGACCTTGAACTCAAGGATCTGCTTACCTCTGCCTCCTGAGTGCTGGGATCAAAGGTGTGTGCCACCCCCACCTGGCTCCTAAACTGCATCCTGTCTACTCACTGGGAGTAAGTTCTCAACTCTGACTCCCTGAGTGGTTGTGGCACAGCCCCTTCATCCCTTGCTCTCATTCCGCTCCTGTTATGTGGTGGAGATGAACAGTTCCCCAATTCTGTGCGATTGCTCCCCGACAAGCTTTCGTCTTCTGGGAAGATGCAAACCCTGGCAGGGAGAGGGCACCCCAGGTGTGAGGGTTGGGAATGCACCTGCCGTAGAATCTGTGGCCTGGGAACCAGTGAGAGCTTCTTTGTGTTCCCTAAATTTGTAGATGCTAAAGGAAAACCTGTAGGGATTAAAGACCCTAGTCAAGGTCACCGGGAGAGAGTGGACATTCGGTAATAGTCCGCTCATTTTATTTCTTTTTTTTTTTTTAAATTTTTTTTAATTTTAATTTTAATTTTTTATTTTTTTCAGTCTGCTCATTTCTAACCTGATTAATTTCTAAATGCTTCCAGATTGAAGAACCCTCAGTTTGGTAGAGGCTTATTTGTGTACTATATATATTCATCGGGGGATGATTTTAGGGAGTTGGTTCCCTCTGCTCGTCAAAGGCTCTGGGAGCAAACTCAAGTTGTCAGGCTTGCACGACCAGCTGTTTTATCTGTTGAGCTATCTCACCAACCCTTATGTGTATTTAAAAGTTTTCTTTTCCACATTTAGCGTGTGTGCGTTCGTGCGTGCATGCATGCGTGCATGCTTGGGTGTGGAGGCCAGAGGATAACCTGCAGGAGATGGCTCTTTCCTTTCACCTTGTGGTTTCTGGGGCTCCAATTCAAGCTGTTAGGCTTGGCAGCAGGCACTTTTGTCCACCGAATCATCTCATTGGCGCCCCCTACGTGTGTTTTTGATATGATGTTTACAACTATGAAAACTGGACATGAACTCATCATAAGTCAAGGCACACAGTTAATGTAACCTGTCCCTCTCACTTCTCTTTCCAGGTAGATTTCAAGAAAGGCAGACAGGGGACTGGAGAGATGGTTCAGTAGCTAAGAGCACGGATTGCTCTTGAGGGTTTGGTTCTCAGCACACACTTCGGGCAGGTCACAATTCCCTGTAGCTCCAGTTCCAAGGGATCTGATGCCTTCTTCTGGCCTGGCCGTACAGACATACACACATACAGACAAGCATGCATGCACACACACATAAGTAAATGCAATGAAAAATAAAGTCCTTTTTCAAAAGGGCAAACAATAACGAGGGGTACATATATGGAACGATGTAGGGAGGGACAACCAGATATACCTTACCTCCTTCTGTTTGGCTGCGTGCTGCTTCTTTCCTGAGTATCTAAGAGCAACCCGGAGGCTGCATCTGAATTCAGGGGCATAGCTGAGGACACAGATAGTTAAAAGGAGACAAAGTAGCTGGAGATAGGGTTGAGAATTGTAAAGCCAACTGAAGGCAAAAGCATCTTCTATGAGTTTTATTTTATCCCATACTCGGATTGATTCTCCAAGAACTTTGACAGTATTAAGAATATTAAGAATCCAACTTCCAGGCCGGGCAGTGGTGGTGCACGCCTTTAATCCCAGCACTCGGGAGGCAGAGGCAGGCGGATCTCTGTGAGTTGGAGGCCAGCCTGGGCTACCAAGTGAGTTCCAGGAAAAGGCGCAAAGCTACACAGAGAAACCCTGTCTCGAAAAACCAAAAAAAAAAAATCCAACTTCCACAGAAGTTCAAGTTGAAGACCAAGGGGGTGAACTCTGGTTGTCAAAGCAACAGAGAAGCCGATAGTACTATCCTATAACATTCACAACACTTGAATTTGGTTACTAAATCATATTTCTCTCCTAACCTTTCACCTAGATCAAACCATGGCCAAAGCTGAATATTTCTTCTGGACTACTCCTGACAATATGACGTGGGATGACTTTGAGAAAAAATTTGGAAATATCAGCGGAACGCCACCCACTGGAGATTATTTCAGCCCTTGTAAGAGGGTTCCAATAACCAACAGGCAGGCTCTAGTTGTCTTTTATGCGCTGGTGTCCCTGTTGAGCTTGCTGGGAAACTTGCTGGTGATGCTAGTTATCTGGTACAGGCGAAGGAGCTGCTCTGTTACCGACGTCTACGTGCTGAACCTCGCCGTGGCCGACCTTCTCTTCTCGTTGACCCTGCCCTTCTGGGCTGTCTCCAAATGGAAAGGCTGGATTTTTGGCACTCCTCTGTGCAAGGTGGTCTCACTCGTGAAGGAAGTCAACTTCTTCAGTGGTATCCTGCTACTGGCCTGCATCAGTGTGGACCGATACCTGGCCATCGTCCATGCGACACGCACACTGACCCGAAGGCGCCACTTGGTTAAGTTCCTATGCCTGGGCATCTGGGGTCTGTCTTTGATTCTGTCCCTGCCCTTTGCCATTTTCCGCCAGGCATATACACCCTACAGTTCTGCCACAATCTGCTACGAGGTCCTGGGTGAGGCCACTACAAATTTCCGGATAATGTTGCGTGGCCTGTCCCACACATTCGGCTTCCTCCTGCCACTGCTGGTCATGGTGTGCTGCTACGGGTTCACACTGCGCATGCTCTTTAAGGCCCGCACGGGGCGGAAGCATCGGGCGATGTGGGTCATCTTCGTTGTTGTGCTTGTCTTCCTGCTCTGCTGGCTGCCCTACAACCTGGTCCTGCTCTCGGACACTCTCTTAGGAACCGGCTGGATTGAGGACACCTGCAAGCGCCGCAACGACATTGACCAGGCCCTGTATGTCACCGAGATCCTGGCCCTTTCTCACAGTTGCCTCAACCCCGTCATCTATGCCTTCGTTGGCCAACATTTTCGCCACGAGTTCCTCAAGATCCTTGCCAACTGCGGCCTGGTTCGCAAGGCGTTCTTGACACATTGTCATGCTGCCTTTCACGCATCTCACACTGTCTGTTAAACCTCTGGAAATAACCAGAGAGTAATAATATTTCTCTCTCAAAGGAGAGAATAACCATCGTGCTAATGTGCTGTGCTGTGTGTGCGCGCACGCGTGCGTGCATGCGTGTGCGTGTGCGTGTGCGTGTGTGTGTGTGTGTGTGTGTGTACAGTATGGCTGTGGGCTGCCTTTATACTTCCATGAGAAAGAACGCCAGCATCTCTCTTGAACACATCTGTCTTTAACTTGTGATCTGGGTGATCATCACGGTCACACCTGTAGCCTAACTCCATTAGAACAAAGAAGGGCAGCTTGCATCTACGTTAGCCCTCATGGGCCAGACTTTCTCCTCGGAACACCACCCTGACCGCGCGCGCAGCACATTCCAGCAGGCTGTCTAGTAACTCTTTGTCCTGTGATCTGAGCTCATGAAACTGTTTTCCCATCTTGGGGGGATGTTGCAATGCCTGCTGAGGACATCGGTCAGGTGCTGCTGAAGCACCCAGCCACCAGGCGGCCTTGTGATGGAGCGAAGAATATCTTCCCTGTGGATGTCATGGGTGGACAAAGGGTGTTTGGGAAACCAGGCCTAGTGCGTGAGAATCCCCCTGACCTCGTGACCAGCGTCACGGAGGGGGATGGGGGTGTTAGGTACCAGCTGAGCCAAGGGTGGGGCAAGACTGGCCGCTGTGACTTCTGCCCTCTTGGCACTTTGGGTTTTGACAGGGACCAACAGCAACTTTATAAACCCAAATACAGCTGTCAATCAGCTGGGCAGGGAGCTATTTCCAATAAAATTTCTGTTCCGTGTTGGTCCGCATGAAAGTATCTTGAGTGCGCCGTAGGGTCAAAGGTGTGTGGTGGGGGTGGGGTGTGGTGTGGTGTGGTGGGGGGCTGGTGGTTCCTGCCGTAGAATGAGTTTGGCTCTCCTCACTGACTGTGGGCAAGTGGGTATACTCCCTGCTAGAGTCATTTTTGCAGACACAGCTTCATGTCTCATGCTCATCATCACGTCTCATATTCAGGAGGTTCGTCCCTCCTGTGTGAAAATGTGAGTTCCGCTTTACGTCTAGGCATAACCACTGTCTCCTGGAATGACCTGGCCCATCTTTTTTTTTTTAAGTTGTATTAGGTGACTTCCTCACCTCCAAATGACTTCAAGAAATTGTGTTTGGGGCTGGAGAGACGGCTCCGTGGTTAAGAGCGCTTGCTGCTCTTGCAGAGGACCCCCAGCGCGGCTCACAGTCGTCTGCGATTTAGGTCCCTGGGGATCCACTGACCTCTTCTGACTTCTATGGGCATTGGGTGTGCATGGTGGAAACGGAAACTCCCACTGGTTTAAAGTAAGATGGAGAAGGTACTGGCCTGTGTGGGCATGGGGAGGGACCAGGATAGCCTGAGGTGGGACTGCAGTGAAGGCTGAGACTGGGATCAGGGACCAAGCTGGAGTAAGGCTGGGGTACAGCTTGGCATAAGGCAAGGTCAGGGGAGAGTAGCTATAGGGAAGAAATCCAGACATGGGGAGACGGGGAGTGGGAGAGCAAGACTTAGGGACCTGCTGAGGGTCGGAGGGAAGGAGAGTCCAGCTCAGGGCTTGGACCAGGTCAGGACTGGAGGAAGGCATATGAGAATGTCAGAAATGGGATGAGTGCCAGGTTAAGACCTCATAGGTAGGGTCGTCATCCTCTTTGGAATATTATCTCAGACACACTCCTAAGGAGTCAGGACAGCAGCTCCTTAGAGATAGGGGAGGAGTCAGGGGCCCCAGCCTATGGAGATAGATCTGAGTCAGGGGAGAGGACATTTTAGCTCTGCTTCCCTACAGTATTCAAACTTTATTGCCTATAGCAACAATTCCAGCAGACATGCGGATTCTCTCACGTCAAGAACTATGCTAAAGGATTTGCTATTGGGGACAGCTGTGGCTGGATTAGGGGAGATCTAAGAAGTCCTGCAGGGCCTAAGGAAAGGTGAGAGAGGGGAGGACACAGCCTGGGCCAGCGGAGGGCATTGTGTGCTTGGCTAAACTTTACACCAGAGCCTGTGTCCAGCCCGGGTGGAGCCTAAAGCTTATGTAATGAAGTCAGGTGGCTTCCTTGAGCTGGCTGTTTAGTGAGCTTAGAGACAGGCCCTGGGATCGTGTTAGGAGGCGGTAGCAGAAATGGGGAGTATGGGCAAGCTCGTGACAGTGTGGTGGAAAGAGAGGAGAAGTCAGGAGTGTTGCGGGGTAGAGACTCAAAGACTACTCAGCATGACCAGAATTCGAATTGAGAGTCTGTAGTAAGTCAACCTGCAACTGTGTGGAAAGAAATACTTCTCACAAAGCAGCCTGGATGCTTATTATGGGGACTTATTATTATTATTATTATTATTATTATTATTATTATTATTTATTATTGTTATTATTGACAACACAGAAAAAAACTACATCATGGTTGCAAGGGGAAGCAAGCAAGCAGTTTAACTTGAGCCAAGAACATGCAGTTGGCTGGGAAGTTTCAACCCCGTGTTTCTAGAATGGGGTTGGGTGCTTTCCCACGGGACTTTTTAGGGTGGGGGTGGGGTGGGTAAAAAAAACGAGGGGTCAGTTTCATTTTAACCCAAAGATGGCTTCAGCTGAGACAAGATGGAGAAACCATTTGCCCCATTACAAGGAGATCTTCGAGGGGAGGCCAAAGACCCTGGTTTTGTGTGTGTGTGTGTGTGTTTAAGGAAAAGGGGCTGGAGAAATGGCTCAGAGGTTAAGAGCACTGGCTGCTCTTCCAGAGGTCCCCAATTCAATACCCAGCAACCACATGGTGGCTCACAACCATGTATAATGAGATCTGGTGCCCTCTTCTGGTGTGCAGGAATACATGCAGGCAGAACACTGTATACATAACAAACAAACAAATAAGCAATACATAAATAAATGCATCTAAAAAGAAAAAAAGAAAAGAAAAGAAAGAAAAATCCGAGTGATCATGGCACACATCTTTAATCCCAGCACTTGGGAGGCAGAGGCAGGATCTTTGAGTTCGAGGCCAGCCTGATCTACAGAGTCCCAGCATAGTCAGAGAGAGAGAGAGAAGAAAAAGAAAAAAAAGGGGACATGTTTGCAGGAAGAGGCTGCCTTTCAGTTAGTTGGGTACAAGCAGATATATTCAACTACATGGGGCAAGCTAGCTCTGAAAGCCTGGGAAGGATTTGGCCATGGCTAGCTTGAACTCACATTATTGGAATTCCTTCTCATCAAGGTGGCAGATCATGAAAGTTACCAGAAGGGTAGAAAACAATAGATAGATAAAAAGAGAATTCAGAGAATGTCAGTATTCAAGGGGCGGAAAGAGGAAGAGGACCCTTCAAGAGAGACTGAACAGGGGTTGGAGGGGTGGGGGGTTGGGAGGGTAGGGGCGTGGAGGACTGGGATGTGGCTCAATTGGTCGGGTGGTAGCCCCATGTTCAATTCTTAGCACTGTATAAACCAGACATGGTGGGTCATATCTGTAATCCCAGCACCTGGGCAGTGGAGGCAGGAGGATGGGGAGTTCAAGTTCAATCTCAGCTGCATAGTACTCATCACTACCTGACACTACATTTAGCTTAGTTGTTTGCTGTTAGCATTGTGTATACCTCAGAAAGAACAGGCCTCGCATCTGCTAGGACCACTTCTGCATCCTCAGCATCAGGCAAAGGATGAGTTTAGTAATATGCTTCATAAGTGTGTGTGTGTGCGCGCACACACGTTGACAATATATATATATTTGGTATACTAGATTTAGATTTATTGGAGTAGCTTGCAGGCTATCTCCTGACAGAAATACCAAATCTTGTAGTTGTTCAGTCCATAAGGTGGATGTCTCAGCAATCCCAATCTGGTGCCGGAGTCCCAGGGAATTCCCAGAGAGCTGCTGGTTTTCATTCTACACTGGAATCCAGAAGAAGTAGGTACTAACCCCAGCAAAGGAAAGCCTCAGCAGCAGGGTAGATGAACTGGCAGGCAAAAAGCCAACTTCCTCTTCCCTGTGCTTTTTACGTGGGCTGCCGCCAGAAGGTGTGACCCAGATTTAGGTCTTCCCACCTCGAAGGATCCAGTCAGGAGAATTCCTCAGTGGGTTCCAGATGTGGTCGTGTTGACAACCAAGTTTCGCCACGAGAGCTTCTCAAATCAAATTTGTGTACTCTCTCACTCAGTTCTATGTATTTACCCTGATACAACAATTCAGGAGGCCCAAGAATGTAGCTCAGTGAGGAGAGTGCTTGCCTGACACACACCAAGTCCTGGGTTTCATGTCCAATAGCACAGGAACAAGACATGGTGGCATGCGCCCGTTGTCCTGGCACTCAGGAGGGTGACAGCTTTTCTTGCTTCCAAGTCCTGTTGGAGAAGACATGTCTGCTCTTCATGAAGTCTTCATCTTTTTTTTTCTTCTTAAGATTTGTTTATTTATTATGCATACAGTGCTCTGCCTGCAAGTATCCCTGCAGGCCAGAAGAGGGCACCAGATCTCCTTACAGATGGTTGTGAGCCACCATGTGGTTGCTGGGAATTGAACTCAGGACCTTTGGAAGAGCAGCCAGTGCCCTTAACCGCTGAGCCATCTCTCCAGCCCCGAAGTCTTCATCTTAATAAATGTTCATCCACAGCCTCCTTTGTGGCCGGAGAGACCATGTGTCATTTAACTGATCACCACATGTGTCAGATCTGAACCTTTAAACTCCGGCATCTGTACTAACTTCAGCTGTCAACATTGAAGTAGAGTGTTGGGACACCCAGCTCGTGCCGGGGAGACGGAGAATTGGTTGGTATGGGAAGAGACCCCCACATACTTGGTGCTGAAGTGCTGCAAGTGAAAATCACAAAGAAGCAGCGCACCATCCTATGGTATCACAGTCACTGCTTCCCCTGGTGGATCTGGGTCGCCCCTAGTTTTTAGCTGTGGTGAGGAATGCTGCCATTAGCATTTGGATATGTCTTTGGGTAACTTTTGAGGGACCGGGGAGATGGCTCAGTTCTTGCAAGGATGAGGATCTGAGTTTGAACCCCAGAACCCGTACAGAATGCTGGGCATGGTGGTGCATCTTGGGAACTAGGTCTGGGGCAGCAGAGCAAACCTCTGGCGCCTATGATCAGCCAGTCTAGTACTTGGTAGATTCTAGGTCAGTGACAGATCTTTATTTATTTATTTATTTTATTAAAGATTTATTTATTTATTTATTTATTTATTTATTTATTTATTTATTTATTTATTATGTATACAGTATTCTGCCTGCATGTGTCCCTGCAGGCCAGAAGAGGGCACCAGATCTCATTACAAGTGGTTGTGAGCCATCTTGTGGTTGCTGGGAATTGAACTCAGGACCTCTGGAAGAGCAGTCGGTGCTCTTAACCACTGAGCCATCTCTTCAGCCCTAAAATAGATTTTTCCCCCCAAAGACAGGGTTTCTCTGTGTAGCTTTGTGCCTCTCCTGGATCTTGCTCTGTAGACCAGGCTGGCCTCGAACTCACAGAGATCCGTCTGCCTCTGCCTCCCGAGTGCTGGGATTAAAGGCGTGCGCCACCACCGTCTGGCAGTGACAGATCTTGTTTCAAAAGACAAAGTGGGGAGCTGACACATACACACTGGGACAGGTAGCTTCCAGGCAAGGAACACTTTGCAGGTTACTTTGCTTCATTTTATTTTGTTTTGTTATTTTGAGACAAGGTCACTATGCAGCCCAGGCTGGCCTCAAATTCTCTCTGCAGCTACAAATGGGTCTTTAATTTTGATCCTCTTGCCTCCCCTGCATCCTGGGATAGCAGGCATACACCACCATGCCTAGTTTAAAGACT